TTCCTGGAATCAGCCGCTGATCAGTTTCAGCAGCAGCTGACTTGGGGACTTAGGGTTCTTAAGTTGAATCTGTATGCAAGTCAGAACTGGTGGTCAGTTTCAGCAGCGGCTGACGCCAGTTCCGACTTACATACAGATTCCACTTAAGAACAAACCTACAGTCCCTATCTTGTACGTAACCCGGGGACTGCCTGTAATTGGTTAACCACTACCATCTGGACCCAGCCCATGGCTATGGTGAGCCAAGGGCTGAAGCAGCCCTCTGCTAACGGTAGGGCCAGGACTGGAGCAGTCCCTGTCAACTGCAGCCAGAGCAGTCCCCACTGCCCACGGTGAGGCCAGGACCAGGACTGGAACAGGCCCCACCACACACTGCCTGCAGCAGGGCCAGAGCTAGGACCAGGACTAGAGAAGTTCTAAACCTAGCTAAGCACTACAGCGGCATGGCTGCACCACTGTTTGTATTGATAAGTTGAGAGTCTCCCCTCTCCTGCAACCAGTTTCTCAGCTTTGGTTGGTCCTCCAATCAAAAAGCCTCTTTTTCTTCCAAAAGCCTGCCCCTGTGTTCTCCTCCCTTCTGTTTTCTTTTTCTGTCTGATCTTGTCTCTGTATTTTTCAGGTTTGTGCCAATGTCTCATCTCTTTGTTTCTTCTCATGAGGAAATTCTTTCTTCATACCTTAGTCCTCTGCAGAGAAGTTGGAGAAAACTGGTTTTACAGGTGATGCTTACTGGTTACAGTTAACGGGCAGGTGCAGGAGCAGCCCCCTGCCCTCTGTGGGGACCCTCCAGCCCAGCCAGAGCAGCCTCCAACCAATCTTTTTTCTGAATTATTTATATGATGACTCACAAGCATCTTCTCTTCATTCACCATCCTCATGAGTAAGCGTGGCTTATTGATGACTGCCAAGAGTAGAAATGTATGGCCAACAGATTAGAGTGTATCAGCAGAACTGCACTGATTCCAATGATTCCAATAGTTTTCAAAATTGTATGGAATGGCAATGCTAGTGATGAAGAATACAGAAACAATAGTGGAAGACAAGAAAGTTTTCTTCATCTCTAGTATCACCATGCTTTGAACTTTAGAGTTGTAACTTTGAGTTAGGCAGGAGTTAGATGTCTGAATCCTTTTATGGATCTGGACTAGATAAAGGTGAGGAATTTCAGTAATGTCTTTAAATTTTGCAATACTGTAATAATTTTAGTGTAATTTTCCCTAAGTACACAGCACATCGGGGAAAAATAACCCCAACTATACATACAGTATGATGGGGGCTAATTTGGCTATGACAAATCAGGAAAGAGATCTTGGAGTTATTCTGGATAGTTCTCTGAAAACTTCCACACAGTGTGCAGCAGCGGTCAAAAAGGCAAATAGGATGCTAGGAATTATTAAGAAAGGGATATAAAATAAGACACAGAATATCTTACTGCCCCTGTATAAAACGATGGTACGCCCACATCTTGAATACTGTGTACAGATGCGGCCTCCTCACTTCAAAAAAGATATTTTGGCCTTGGAAAGGGTTCAGAAAAGGGCAACTAAAATGATTAGGGGTTTGGAATGGGTCCTATATGAAGAGAGGTTAAAATGACTGGGCCTTTTAAGTTTAGAAAGGAGAGACTGAGGGGGGATATGATAGAGGTATATAAAATCATGAGTAGTGTGGAGAGGGCGAATAAATAAAAGTTATTTATTAGTTTCCATAATAGAAGAACTAGAGGACACCAAATGAAGTTAATGGGTAGCAGGTTTAAAACTAATAAAAGAAAGTTCTTCACACAGTGTGTAGTCCACCTGTGGAACTCCTTGCCAGAGGAGGCTGTGAAGACTAGGACTATAACAGAGTTTAAAGAGAAGCTAGATAATTTCATGGAGGTTAAGTCTATAAAGGCCATTAGCCAGGGAATAGAAATAGTGTCCCTGGCCTCTGTTTGTCAGAGGCTGGAGAAGGATGGCAGAAGACAAATCGCTTGATCATTGTCTTCTGTCCACCCTCTCTGGGGCACCTGGTGCTGGCCACTGGCGGCAGACAGGCTACTGGGCTAGATGGACCTTTGGTCTGACCCAGTACGGCCGTTCTTATGTTCTAGCAATTGCTGCAAGCATAAACTTGCATTTGCAAGTGATAATGGGTCATGGATTGTAAATAGTACAGAGTTTAAATGTATAACATATAAGGATACCTCCCATCCCTCAGAAATAAAAATCTGGCTTCTAAATTGCTGCTGGAATGCTCCATAGTCAAACTGCATGAGCATTCCCTTGGAATCAGGTGAAATGCTGAGCCTCTGGTGACTACTTCCCCGTTTGCTTGTCCTCATTAAAGCAGCTGTGGTGATTCTAGTGTAAATAGCCCTTGAGGATACTCTGTACCTGTGCTGTGCAGTCCGTGATAGGGTAACACAGATTTTGTCTTGGAGGAGGAGGTAGGGAACAACCAGCCTAAAAAGCTGCCTGCTCTCTCCTTGGCTGCAAGCGTGAGGGGCCCAGCAGCAGGAGCAGCCCATCCCTTGCACCCTCCTCCCCCAGCGAGCTACCCCGTTTGACCGGGAAGGCGAGGCGAAGTGGGCTGTGCCCACGAAAGCTCACGCTACCGTCTACATCTGTTGCGAGTCTCTAAGGCGCTGCAGGACCGTGCGTTGTGTGTGAAGCTTTTCCAACGGTGAGATCACTGTTCATGTTCCCCTCCGGCACGCGCCTGCGCTGGTGGCATTTGGGTTTAACCAAGAAGCGAGGTTTTGCAGCTGTGGCCGGGGGCAGGGACTCAACAACACCTGCCGCAGCCGCTGGAGTTCGAACAAAGCCCAAAGGCCCCTAAGGCAAAGGGGGCCCGAGTGAGGGCGGCGCTGAGGCGCGGAGCCAGGCAGGGCCCGGAGAGGAGCGGGAGGCGACCGGAGGGAGGGGGGGCGGGGACAGGCGGCGATTCGCCTGCTGGGTGAGCTGCTCGCGACAGGCGCGGTGTGGCGGGAACCCTGCGCGCCCCTTCCCCGCACCCCAACGGGTACCGGCCACTACGGCGCGAGCTCCCTTCGGTTCGGCTGGGGGGGGGGTGGGGGGCCCTGGGT